TGCCTCCTTAGCACTGGGATTAAAGGTGTGTGCTACCGCTATCTGGCTCAAATTAGTTTGTTTTTGGGCTGCAACAGTTCTTTATCTATTCCAGATAGAAGGTTGTTTTTTGTTTGTTTGTTTGTTTGTTTGTTTGTTTTTAGATAGAAATTCTTTATCAGATATATTATTTGAAATGTTTTTTTCCTATTCAGTAACTTAAGATTCCTATCTTTGAAAGAGTTAGGAATCTCCTATCTTTGGAGAAATGATGACTCAGCACCTAAGAGCCCTGGTTACTCTTCTAAAGGACCTGGGTTCAATTCCTAGTACTCACATGGCAGCTCACAACCATCTGTAACTCCAGTCTCAGATAATCTAGTGCCCTCCTCTGACCTCTACAAGTACTGCATTCACACAGTACATAGACATAAACACAGTCAAAACACGCACATAAATTAACAAGAACAGCAGCTCATTGAAACTTAAAACTTAAAAAGTTAGCCTTATTATTTCTCCTCCAGTTACATGCTATCGGATCTGTGAAAACGTTGTTCATGTTAGTTTCTCTGGTGACGTAAATGAGAATGGTCCCCATAGGCTCACTCACATATTTTAAGTCTTGGTGGGCATGTTGGTGGAACTCTTTGAGAATTCTTTGAAGGTGTGGCTTTAGTTAGATAAGGTGTGTCAGTGAGGGTGGGTTTTGGAGTTTCAAAAGCCCTTTCGTTTCTACTTAGTTCTCTCACTTTCTCTGCCTCATGTTTGTTGGCCAGATGTAAGCTCTAGCCAGATTGTTGCCATGTTCCCTGCCATGATGGTCATGGACTTTAATACCTCTGCAACCATGAATGCTCACATTAAATGTTTTCTTTTATAAGTTGTCTTGGTCATGGCTCATGGCGTCTTGTCATGGCCATAGAAAACTAACCAAGACAGTTTCCAAATGTCTAAACATGTCAGATACACTATTAGTGTCTTGCCTGGAGACTGTCCAGCATAGGACTTACTTTCTCCTAATCTAGTCAAGGCAGGTTTTGTCTCTGTCTGTGGCTCAGCTTCCATTCCAAGCATCTCGTCACCAGCCTTGTGTTCCATGCCTTGGGTCTGTTGCCTTTCTCTTTCTTATTACCCAGAGTCTGTCACATAGAAGACTGTTTGGACAGGAGCGATGGCAACATCTGTGATTCCTTACATATCTGAATGATGTCTTTATTTTACTTCCGTCTTTTTTGAGACTGGGTCTTGTTATGATTTGATCGATGTTCTGGCCTCCAGAGATGCTCTTGCCTAGTCTCTCCTATGTAGAGAAATTACTGGTCTATGACACCAGCCCCTAGTTTCCCCTCACATTGAGGTATTATAGAATTCTAAGTTAATAATCATTTTGCCCAGGTAAAATCTTTATTTTGTGTATATTTGTATGTGTTTGTGTGCAATGCCTGTGAAGACCAAAAGAGCATACCAGGTCCCCTGGAACTGGAGTTACAGATGGTTGTGGAGCACCACGTGGGTCCTCTGGAAGGACAGCCGGTGCTCTTTCCCATGGAGCATCCCCCTAGCCCCCGGAAGTTTTGTGTGTGTGTGTGTGTGTGTGTGTGTGTGTGTGTGTTAGGAGCCGCTGCTCTTTTTTCCTGTGTTGTGATGCCATTCTCTTTCCTGTCCCAATTTTATTCTCTTTTTGAAAGATTTAAAAACCATCTATCTTTCTCTGCTGTTGTGAGACTGCAGAAAGTTGTCTTTGGTGTGATTCTCTTTGGTAGCTAGAACTCACTATTTGGTCTGGAAAAGCTCATTTAATTCTGGAAACTTCGGTTACATTTATTGCATAATTAATTCCCCATCCACGCATTTCCTTTCCTCTTGTATCCCGTCTTCTCCTTTTCAGCTCCTTTATTACTCAGACATTGAACTACTTGGCATAACTTTTTAATTTCCTTAATTCCTGTCTCCGTCTCTCTGGTTCTTGGCATTTCTTCCCTGATTTGTTTTCAGCATAGGACCACAATTTATTTCTCTGTGGAAATTCCCCAAGGCTGCCATTGAGGAGGAACTCAGCAAGGGGGTCTGCATTGCTTCTGCTGATGGATGCTAGGTGCTACTGTCAATACTGGACCACTTCGAAATTCTTGCCATGTTGATTTTAGGAAGAAGAGATGCCAAAACTTTCAAAAGTGAATAAAAGAAGGATTTTAGGCAAAGTATTAAAAGCGTAGCTTGAGGTTATGAATTCAAATATTTAAAAGGACAAAGAGAGTTCCAGCAGGCACCGAGTTTGCAAATAATTTCACTTGCAGATCACTTGGATGACAGTATTTTAAAAACTCTCTTACTTGCCAATACAGGGGTTCCAGCTTTATGCAGGGACTTTCTACTAGATTTCTAACTCCGAGTAAGACCATCGGTTCTTTCCCATGCTACAATGGCACCCGTGAGGCCACCATGCTCAGGCCCAATGTTCAGCTGCCTCTCTCCGTATCAGCTTTCACTTGTTCGGTCTTTAGGTCATGCTTTCTTTCTTGTCAGCTCATGAGCACGCTTTTAAAATGCCAAAGTCACCCCAGCACTTGGGAGGCTCAAGTCAGATTATCTCTTGATCCATCTCAGAAAAGCAAACCAAGTCACACCCTCCATGAGGCAAAAGAAAAAAAAAAAAAAAAGCTGGTGGTGGTGGCTCACACCTTTAATCTCAGCCCTCCAGAAGCAGAGGCAGGTGGATCTCTGAGTTTGAAGTCAGCCTGGTCTATAGACCTGTTTCCAGAACAGCCAGGGCTAGGCAGAGAAGCCTATCTTGAAAAACAAAGACAAAAACAAAACAGCATTTAAAGTAACAATTTTTAAAAAAGAAAAATAAATGTCATGTGTGGTAATTATGGCATTTAAATAGGTTCCTTAGTAACAAGATTGGGCACGGGCTTGAATCTAGGATCTTCTCCTTTTTCTTTTCCTCGTTCTTCTGCCATTTTGGCATCTACCGATTTGGGACATTTTGCTCTAGCTCTTACGTCAGATCCACTCACACTGTATTTGTCATACTTCCTCAGGAGCATCAAAACTTGTAAAATGAATGCCAGGTGCTTTAAAGAAAATTCCAGAGGGAGAAGAGAAGTATCATCTGTCTTTCAGGAAATGCTGCATCATCAAAGACTTAATGGCATGCACGTGGGACTAACTACATTATGTGGCTATGTGGACATCTGAGTAAAAAACATGAATCACTGAGAACTAATCTCTGGGGAACAGGATGTAGCTCAGCTGGCAGAGTGATTGGGAGCATGCAAAAGCAGGTATGGTGGTTTACTTCTGTAATCCCAGCACTCAGGAAACAGAAGTAGGAAGATCAGAATTTCAAGGTCATTCTTTGCTATATCTCATGTTCAAAGCCAGCCTGAACTACAGTAATCTCTGTTTTTAAAAAGTCTCTGAACGTGAAGTTTTAGGCGTTATATTAATGTTATTATTTTCTATTTTCCTTTTCATGAATGTCCAAGAGAGAGATATAAAATTCACACTGCATAGAAACCTAAGCTTTCAATAAATGTAAAATAAAAATTCTTAGGCTTAGAAAATGTAATCACATTTATAACTACTTTTAAAGAAGTAAGGCATCAAATGACGTTGAGTTTTACAACTGATGCCTAGGAAAGGGATACTATTGGAAGAAAGAAGAAAAATGTTTACGTATTAAGAGGGGAAAATCGCTTCCACTTAGTTTTTGGAGGAGGTATAAAGAAGAAAGGAGTGGGACTGGAGGGAGATGGCTCAGTGGTTGAGAGGGCACACGGCATTTGTAAGAAGGAGCAAAACCAAAGCCATTTTGAATAAAATTTCCATTTTGAATAAGGGTCAAATAAAGTTTAAGTTACCTTCCTGGGTAACTGCCATCTTGGTTGGCAAGCTGAGACATGAACACTAGGCAAGTCTTCCCGCCACAGATGAATAACCCAACCAATGGGAACAGGATAAGTGTACCACAAAGACATGTTCCGAAGGAAGTCCTTTATCCCTAAATCCTGATTGGTGGGATAACCTGGCACCGATGTTTGTGGTTTTGGAGCTTAAAAGCACTGTTAACATTCTGGCTCAGGGTCACAGTCCAGCTCCTCTGTCTGTTCTGAGGCCCTGATCGATCGTTAACGGCCTGAGTACAATACATTTTGTCATCTGCTAAATAGATACTAAGATGAACATTCTAAGACGCAGTAAGCGCCTCAGTCTGTGTTGTCCCTGACTGGTCAGTTTTGCTGCCTAATTCAAAGACCTTGCTTTGCTGGATTCCTGAGACTGCTTGGGTTGCTCTGGATTCTCGGACCCCAACACTTTTGCAGAGGTTTGGTTCCCAGCACGCGCATGTACTCAAAACCACCTGCAATTCAAGTTCCAGGGGATAAGCCCTCTTCTGACCTCCAAGGGCCCAGGTATGCGATCGTGCAGCAAAAACCTGTACCATAAAATAACAATAAATTAAAAAATTTCTTTTTTTAAAGGCAAAGAAAAAAAGAAGAGAGAGAGACTTCGAAATCAGGTGAGTCTAATTTGTTTCAGGTTTCTGAGTTAACTAAGTCGCTGTGGTGACCTACAAAGAGCAGTTTTAGGGATGACATTCAATTTAGGGCAGGTTTTATCGAAACACAGGAACGAAGTCTTTGCAGGCTTTACGGTCTCAGGCAGGCAGTGTGGCCGGGTGGGCGAGTGGTCAGGGCGTCATGAATACTCATACACTGCTGAACCACCAGGGCCTGTAGGAGTCCAGCGTCTAGGTCACCTGGGTTTCCTGTCCCCAGGTGCTGTGGGCGGGGACAGTAAGAGTGGCAGGAGCCTCCAGCTCCACGATTGGTCGATAGGGCGGGCCTAACTCAAACTCTGAGACCGCCCTCGATGTTGGCCAGCGACGAGGGGAGAACTGTGATTGGTCTAGCCGTAGGGGCGGGGCCACCAGAACATGCCCCGCGTGGATTGGGCCTGGAGAGCTCAACGTCACCCGAGAGGCGCGGCCATCTCTAATAAAGCCGGGAGTCGGCGCCGCACCCGCAGTAAGTTCCAGCGCGGTTAGAGTTCCGGGTGGTCCGTGCGAGGCGGGGCTCGGCGGTTCCGCCTGCTTCAGCCGCAGCGTCTCCCCGCCTGTCTCGTTGCATTCTCCAGAGAGGGGACGGACCTCCACCTCCTCTTTCAGAAAAATGTGAGTTGACTCCGGTCTCGGGTCCTCGACACCTCCTTACCGACTCTTCCCCCGCAGTGTCCGACTCTGCGGGACGGAAAATGGCGCATTGCAGCAGCTGCGGCGACGCCGGGAACCACCAGCTCGCGCCGCCCCCAGACTGGGCCACCCCGGGATGCGGGCAGCGCTCCATCCCGCACCAGCTGCAGCTGGCACTCCACGGCAGGGCGAGGGCGTGGGGGTCCCACGGGCCATTGCACTCTCTCCTCTTGTCTTTGCACCGTGGAACCCCAGAGGGGGAAAAGCGGGGATGCTATAGATTCAGACGGGGAACTCCGAGACCCTTTCTTGTTTGACAGAATCTGTCTCTTAAAGCCCCTGGGCAGACTTTTATAGGTGCACCTGTCCATTCGTGATTCGGGTTGCTTGCAGTCCCTGGGTTTGTGCATTCCCCCCACCCACAGTGTGTAGTGCCTCATGTAAGCAAAGCTGCAGAAACTTACTTGCTAGTTCTGTGGCGCCTCTGAGCATCTCAGAGAGTCTCGGGGGACAGTGGTATGAAATCCTAATGCAGTCGCTTATGCTACGGTGCTTTCCAGTGATCAAGTCCTAGCCAAGTAGTGGAGGAGAAACAGGGGGAACAACAAATTCTTCATTTTATCCAAAACACATAATTTAGTGTTCAGCTGTCTTCGGCATCATCCCTTTTGAAGATCTGTGGCTAGGTAAATTAAGAATTCCCCTTTAGGATCTCACACACACAGAATGAACGATTTTCTTTCGTTCCATTTACTGCCTGGATCTCTTGCCTGGTGCTAGATGTATGTGTGTCCTCCCATGCTGTCTGTCTGTCTTTTGTCTTTGGCTTTTCCAGACAGGGTTTCTCTGTGTAGCTCTCTGACTGTCTCAGAACTTCCTTCATAGACCAGGCTGGCCTTGAACTCAGAGATCCGCCTCCCCCTGCCTCCCAAGTGCTGGGGTTAAAGGTGTGTATCACCATACTCAGCTTGGGTTGCTTCTCTTGACAAAAAAAAAAAAAAAGGTGGGGGGGAGGTTGTATTACATAAGGATTATAACTCCCTGGATAGGTTAGTGTAGAGTGTTTACAAGTAGAAAGGGAAGTGAGCCCACTAAGAGCTTTAATGCTATTTCATCCTTTCTCTTTGAGTTCTGTGGCTTTAACATTCTGTGCATTTTTTCTTTACAAGCCCATAGGTTCTAGATTTTTTTTTTTTTTTTTTGGAGGGGGTGAGGAGGGATCCTTCTTGGCTGACTGGCTCCAGGTAGTTTTATGTGTGATGATTAGAAGGAGGTAGGTAAAGAACCATGGCTAGCGGGGAATCACGAGGTCTCTGACCTTAATCTTGTCATTGGTGCCACCATCCTGGAGAACTTCCAACACTAGCTGCCACCAACTCATTGAGATCCCTGCCTTCGTTCTAGATTGCTTAGCTAGCGGAACAGCAGCGCAAGCCTTGTGCCTCCCAGGGCTTAGCATCCTCCCCTTCCTCTGTGTCTAGGAAGGAAATGGGAAAGTGGCTGTTTAAAGGGAACAAGCCAGTGTAATCTTCTGATACAGCCTCTCTGAGAGGCTGTTATGTCTTGTCTAGGCAATTTCACTCAGTTGTGGAAAGGGAGAGTCTAGGTGTTAATACTAGTGTAAATAATCAAGGAATTTACTTTTTTGCGGCAACTTTCTGATGGTTTAACTTCTACTGTATTTATTCGTGGACTTCTCTGGCAAAGGTAGAGTTTAAGAAATTTCCACTCTTCATCAAATTTTAGATACCTCTCTTTACCTTGCTTGTGAGGTTCCCACAATGGCAGGAAAAAAAAAAAATCTCCTTCTGTAGGTTTGATTCTGGGAACTTGTTAGCCAGTGAATGTCAGAAGTTTATCTTAAAGACTCACAGTTGCTTTGCATGTGGGACCATGCTCTTGACCCCAGTAGATGGAAGGCCGAGACAGGTGGATCTGCTTTTCAGGCTAACCTGGTCCACAATGAAAGTTCCATGACAGCCAGGGCTGCATGAGACCTCATCTCAAAAACAAAACAAAACCCAAAACAATCAAAACAAAAAACAAACCCACTCTGGATTATTCCCTTCTAAGGCCATGGGAATGCTTTGCCTTCTGTGGTCCTGGAAGAGAGACTGGTCCGTACATGCATAGTAGCATAGTTCAATCTCCTCCTTTCTTTCTTTGTTTCTTTCCTTTTCTTTGTTTTGAGACAGGATTTCTCTGTGTAGCCTTGGCTGTCCTGGATTCACATAGATCAGGCTGGCCTTGAACTCACAGCGATCCACCTGCCTCTGCCTCCCTGAGTGCTGAGATTAAAGTCATGCGCCACCATGCCTGGCTCAATTTTTCTTTTCTGATGCAGGGGACTAGGAGAGTATCCTGAGACACTGCCATGTCTTAAGGAGGATGGGACAGAGTGTCTATGCTGCATGCACATGGAGGCTATTTCTAGCATTTTTACTTACGGCCTGTGCTTTTGGAACAAGTAATGTAATTGTTTTAGGTTCCAGATTTAATTTAAATGAGACCCCTGTGTTCTCTGGCAGAAACAATGCAAACAGCTCTGAGTCGCTCCACCTATATAGACTTTGCTCCTACTGACTCTCTAAACTGTCTCTGCAGCAGCTGCAGTGTACCAATTACATTGTGAAACGAACCAGCAAACAGAGCCCCGTCCTTCCCATAAGCAGGGTGAGCTCAGTTGTCCTGACAGTTCAGTCTTGCCTACAGATATCTTCCCCTGGATTGTCCCACTTTACTTCATGTGAAGAGCTTCTAATGGTCTGGCAAATTCCACTAAGGTCAAGACTGGCATATTTATCCCTATGGCCGCTGTGCCAGAGGACGTGCTTGAGTTTGCATCACAGCATAGCCCCAGTCCAGATCTCTTAATGGCACCGGGAGCCTGAGCCAAAGGTTAGGAGAGCTTTCATCCTTTGCTTCACTCTAATCTTCATCCCCATACTTGGGATTGCTGAGGAGCTAAAGTGCCTTCTATTTGCATTCAACCTTTGCTTTGGTGGTATGCGGCGAGGAAGCATGGGGTTCTCTTCTTGTCTCAGTTACTCTGTGTACTGTTTGTTTCTCTCCACAGGTCTGCTCCAGCTCAGCCACCCGCTGAAGGGACAGAAGGGGCTGCTCCAGGTGGGGGTCCTCCTGGTCCTCCTCCCAACATGACCAGTAACAGACGGCTACAGCAAACCCAGGCACAAGTGGAGGAGGTAGGCACCTGGCCCGCTCTATGAGAGTTTCTAAACCAAGAAGCCTGGCTTGTCTTATCTGTTTTCCTCTTTTTTATAGGGGGAAAGGCTCTGGCATGCAAAGCATCCCTTGGATTCATAGGCCCTGGCTTGTGATCTCCCTGGCATCATTCATTTCCTCTGTCTCGGGGGGGGGGTGAATCTCAGCAGCTTTGTCTCTGCAACCCCCTCAGGTGGTGGACATCATGCGTGTGAATGTGGACAAAGTCCTGGAGAGGGACCAGAAGCTGTCAGAGTTGGATGACCGAGCTGACGCCTTGCAGGCCGGAGCGTCACAATTCGAGAGCAGTGCTGCCAAGCTAAAGAGGAAGTATTGGTGGAAAAACTGCAAGGTGGGTTTCCCTGCCCTGAGAGCTTTCCCTTTTCTCACTTCTGGGAGGCAAGAAACCCATTAGCTTCTCCTTTGCCTTCCTCTGAAATCTGGAAGCCTCCTTGGCATGCATTACCTGTATTGGCCACCAGGATAGGCTAGAGTATTCCAAGCCACTTGAGAAAACCCTATGTAGAGGAATTTAGAATTTGGTGAAGTAGCTTTTTCCCACTTGCGTCTTCTGCAGAAATTCTCACCTGGCTCTTTCTCAGACCCCCAACAGCAACATACTGGCTCAGTATATGTAACTTAAATATCTACAACTTCTGTGAGTCCAGCAAACACTTCCTGAAGTTTGCCTTTCCCATTGGAACTTCATGAAAGACAGAGCGGGCAATAGGAACTGAACAAAATGAGGTTTCAGGGCCTATTTCCCGAGGTTGTGACCCTACGGGAAGCAGAGGTCTGTGGGTGCCCTCCCATCTCTAGTCCTGATTCCTTCCTTCCTTCCTGAGTCCAAGGGCTCATGCTCTGTCCGTGTCTCCTCAGATGATGATCATGCTGGGAGCCATCTGCGCCATCATCGTGGTAGTTATTGTAAGTAAGTATCGCTGAGGTTGCCGATGGGGTGACGAGGTGGGAAGGTCCTGGACTCTTCTCCCAGCCCTGCCTGCCTGCCTGCCTGCCTGGGGAGTGGGGCTGCCTGACCGAGGTATGGAGACCGCTGCTGTGGGATCATCGCCTGGTTCGGGAGGGAGGAAGGGCAAAGACAAGGCAACTCCTTGATGGATAAGCCTTCCCCCAGCAAGGAATTGTGGGGAGAAGGCCCCTTCTGCTGAGGGAGGGGGGTTGTGCTTTTTGTCACTGGCTTGGGTCCAAGGGAGACTTTGGGGCTGGGATAACTGCAAGTGAGAGACCCGAATGTCTAGGAATGTGATGTAACTTGCCCTCTTGTTTTCTCCTGTCTCTTTTTTTCTTCTCCATCTGGGACTTCCTGATTCCTGTGTCCAGTCTACTTTTTTACTTGAGAATGTACCATCCCTTCCCTGTTCTCCATTGCCATCCAAGCTCATGTCTTTTTCCCTCTGTTTGCTCTCTCAACAAACTCCTCCATCTACCTTTCTCCACTCTAGCCCAGGCCTCTCCATCATCCATCCTCCTTTTTTGTTGCATTCATTTGCACTCTCTTCCTCAACACTGGAAATGCTGCTCGTGGCACACACAGTCTTGAAGTCACTATCCAAAGAGCAACAGCTGGCACCTCCTCCTTACCCATTTAGTGTGTACCCCAGAGCTTAAAAGAGTGTGGCTAAAGGAAGGAGGAGGACAGGAATGGCAGAGGTGAAGTGTCTGAGAAGCTGGCATGGCTGAGGGGGGGAGAAGGATATTTGTGTCCATAGCGTCTTTTAGAAAGGCTCTCCTTCGGAAAGGGGAGCAAGAATAGTTTGGAAGTAGTAGCTTGCTGCCTATTTTATATATATGTAATAGTTGGGAACTACTTCCTGCTGCCCTCATTTTGGAACTCCCCCTACCCCATACCAGGCCTATCTTGAGTCCTAGAGGTCTGTTTAAAGACCAACTTTGAGTCCCTTTTAGAAAGTCAAACTTGTATTTTGTAGTTAATGCCTGTCAGTCCAAGAATTTCTGTCTCTGGGGGATTTACAGCCTTTTACCTTGTTCTCTGTAGGCCTAGAAAACAAGTCCTTACTGATTCTAAAAGCAGCAGGAGATGCTTTCTCCTAGAAGCTGCCCACGTGCTTCTGATTAGGAGCTGCTCCCTTTATGTCTCCTGAAGCACTTTATGTTGTTCATGAGGGCACCGGATAATTTCAATGGATCGGGGGCTTTGACAGTAACAGGCTTTTGGGAATATGCTTCTTGACCCCTCATTAGTGGAAGTCCTCTATCTCCCCTGCTGTTGATAAAGGGATATGAGAGTTAAATGGTGAGGCTCCCCGGCTCCCCCAGAACCCTTTCCTCCACACCACCCCTGTGTTCTTGCCTCAGACCGGGATGAGGCAGGAAGGCCTTTCCAGATTGAGAGAAGTCCAGCAAAGCCCACAGCTTGGCCTTGGATAGGAGGGTAGCAGCCTGTGACAGGTGTACTGTGAACTGCTGTGCCGCATGAGGCCTCACATCTGCAGCTGCCTGCTACTCTTCCTTCAGCTCCTTCCCAGAACCACCCTTGCCCATCTGAATTCTGCACTGCCTCCTTTCTTTCATTACCCTTGCATGCTTTATGAGTACAGACATTGGAATCCGAGGATAGGAGCTGCTCAGTCTGTCTTGGGAGCTTCTGCTAAGCCTCACAATAGGCTGCTGCATGGGATAAACCCAGGTGCGAGGGGAGAAGGGCAGGTGGGAGCCGGAGGGGAATGTTCTCAGGCCTTTATTCCTTCTGTCCTCTGGCCCACAAGCAGGAACAGGCTGGAGTCATGCTAGGCTGGGTACCCACTTTCCACGCAGCAGCATTTCATTCTGCAAAACCATTCTTCCTTTCCCTTTGCCCATTTCCCACATTCCCTTCGTCCTGCCTCAGGGCAGGACTGAAGAGCTGGAAGAAAGCAGTCAGTGTACCCTCCCAGCGTTCCCCTGGAAGGTCTCCACTATCCTCTGGGCTTCTTTTGCTAATTCAGGGGGGTCACCGCTGGAGAAGAACCAACAGTGTCCTCGATGTATCCCAAGCCTGGAGCAAATTTACCCTGTTGGCCCACCCAGCCCTAGCACAGGAATTATTTCCTGGGTTCTGCCCCTCTGAGGCTTACCAGGTGTAGTTGGCTTTGTTCTTTTGGGGGTGTTAGCCCTTCTACTTTCTTTCTCACCCCACCCTGAACCCTCTTCTGTGTCTTTGCAGTCTCCTTCCCCCTCCACCCATGTGCATGAGCAAGTATACAGTAAACCCTGGGACTTTGCCGTCAGTTGAAGTCAAGCTTCCCACATCCCCTTCTTTGGTTTGCCATGAGATGATGTGGGGTTTCCATTGTGTCTGTCATTACCTGTCTGTCTTTTTCCTAACCCAGTCTCATAGTTTATGTATAGCAGTAAGAGTTCTTCCACCAAAGGCATGTGACATATTTACCAATTTCATGTATTCTCAACAAAGGCGAAAAATACAGATTCCTACCACAACACCGACTTCATTGTTGTTTGGGTCGTACTTCGTCGTTGTTCGTTGTTTGGGTTGTGCCAGGGAGATGGGGTGGGGAAGAAGCTGCTGTTCTGTGCTGGCTGCGGGCCAGAAGGGCTGACGCACGTGTGTTCTTTGCTCTTCCTGGAGATTAAAGTCCCTGTGTTGGCAGAGGAAGTGGTCTGTGCCCTTACCCTTCGTACCTGAAGCAGCCAGCCCTTGCAGGTGCTGGTGACAGGAAGTGATGACAGGAAGCTGAGTGGGCACCTCATGCTGGCAAACAGTCTCGGGCTTTCTCAGGCCCCTCCCAGGCCTCCACCTGATTGTCATGTTTTAAGGGTTGTATGAGGCTTCCCAGCCCGTACCTCCTTTCATCTTCATTAGTAATTTGCCCCCTCTTTTAGTTTAATTTTTATTTTCTGTGTTTTTTTTTCCAGTGTGCACCATTGTGCTTATCTCATAAATGGATTCTCCATACTAAAGTCTTCTGAAATAGCAAGTTCAGTTTAAGATCTACTCATACTCCTTTTATCGTGGGAGTGTTTGCCTGCACGTGTGTATTTACACACGTATGCCTGGCAACCCAGAAGAGGGTGTCAGAGCCCACGGAACTGGAAGTGCACGTGGTTGTGTGCCACCAGGTAGGTGTTGGGGAGTGAACCCAGGTCTTCTGAAAGAGCACCCAGTGCTCTAACCACTGGGCCATCTCCAGCCCCTCCCCCATCTCCTTTAAAGACATTGTTCTGTTCCTAACAATGTCTACAAAAAACTGGCTTCTAAACATTGAATTTTTTTTTTTTTTTTCCTGAGACAAGGTTTCTCTGTGTAGCCTTGGCTGCCTTGGAACTCACTCTGTAGGCCAGAGTCTTCGAACTCAGAGAGATCTGCCTCTCGAGTGTTGTGATCAAAAACATGCGCCACCATTCTTGGTTTAATCTTTAAAAATGTATTTCGGGCTGGAGAGCTGGCGGGCTCGGCAGTTCAGAGCACTTGTTGGTAGAGGACCTGGGTTTGATTCCCAGCATCCACACGATGGCTCACAAGCAGGTGTAACTCCAGTCCTGGGGGATGTTCTCTTCTGGTACCAGGCACATAGGTGGTGCACATACCTACATGTAGACAAAAACACTCAACACACATAATAAAATAAATCTAAAAAGACCTTTCAGAGGACCTGGATTCAGTCTTCAGCACCCACATGGCAGCTCACAGCTGTTGATAACAGTAGTTCCAGGGGATCCAGTGTCCCATGTGACCTCGTGGTGCGCACACACACACTCAGGCACACGTACATAAACAAAGATATTAAAGGGATATTTGTTTTTATGTTATGTGTATCCCTGCTTTTCTTTTTTTGTTTTGGTTTTTGTTTTTCAAGGGAGGTTTTCTCTGTATAGCCTTGGCTGTCCTAGACTCACTTTGTAGACTAGGCTGGCCTCAAACTCACAGAGATCTGCCTGCCTCTGCCTCCCTGAGTGCTAGGATCATAGGTGTGCACCATTGTGCCCAGCTGTGTATACCTGATTTTCCTGCATGTATGTCTGTGTACTAAATGTATGTCTGGTACCCAAGGAGGCCAGAAGAGGGTGTTGGGTCTCTTAGAATGAATTACAGATGATTATGAGCTGCCATGTGCTGCTGGGAACCAAATCAAGGTCCCCTGGAAGAGCAATCAGTGCTCCTAACCACTGACTTATCTCCGGCCTCCCCTGTCCTTTTTTTTTTTTTTTTTTAAATAGACCTTACAATCCAGTTTTTATATACCTAGCTGCACTGCAGCCACATGGTATTTCACAGAAGTGACCCCAAGAAGCCTCTCCTGCAGTGTGGGAGTGTAGGCTGAGCCTCACAGAACTCCTGCAGCTGTCTGAAAGGTGAGAACCCTAATCTCTGATTATACAACAGTGGAGATGGAGCCTGTCAGGCCTCTGAGGGCTTCTGCTTCAGACCTTGAAGAAACTGCAAGGTGGAGCAGCTAGGAATGGCGACCCAGGGCTCTGTCAGGACCAACAGGGAGAAAGAAAAGAAAGTAGAAAGGCTGTAGACCCAACGTGTTTTTATTTTACAATGTTAGAGTTTGTGAGTGGTGGCCAACCCCTACACTCTTTCCCCCTCTCTCCTTACTTGCCCCTTCTTTGGTTTCTCATGTCAAATATATCCTTTGGTGTCAGCCTCCACTCAGATAACTGCCCTCTCTTGTCACCTCCCTTTTCATCGGCCCAGGGTTCTCTTCTCAACGGTGAAGGAAGGCAGAGACCAGTACAGACCAGGGCCAGTACCTCACTCCCACATGTGGTGCCTCCTTCAGGCCTTTCTCAGTCCCACACCTCAGCATAAGGTTATTCCAGTAGCTGCAGCACGAGTGCTCTCCTTTTTACCCAGAGTGCCTCATAGTCTTGGTAGACCTTGACGAAGAAGTTGAGAGAAAGCAGACAAGATTGGTTTCAGATGGGGTCATTCCACAAGCAGATGTTGGGGGTACAGTAGAAACATCTGGAACTTGGCACTTTGGGCTTCATCCCTGGTTTGGGTGGGTAGGTACTTAGTAGTGGATTTATCCACAAACTCACCTTGTATCCGAAGTCCCAGAAACAACAGCCCCAAAACGAAGAGAGTGCTGGCCAAGATGACTCCAAAGGCTCCTCTCTGCTCTGTGGCTGAGAATGAACAGAAAACCATGTGCTGAGCCCTTGCCTTCCTCTCTTTCGGAAGCGAGCTCTGGGGTAGATGCTTGTGAATCCTCACTGGAGGACCCATTCCCATGCGCACAGCAACACCTGCATTTGCTCTAGGCTGTCAGATTGTGCACTGCTGTTCTGCCTCTTCTCACATCAGGGTTTTGTTGTTCCAAGACAGGGTCTCACTGACATCCAAGCTGGCTTTGAACTTAGAATCCTGCAGCCTTCTAGTGCTGTGATGATAGACACATGCCGCTATACCCCACCCCACCTCAGGACATTCGGAAATGTTTTACAAAAGAGATCGCGGTTGTCCTAATGACGGACAGCAAATAGCGGGGGAATGATGTGAGCCAAAACAAAACTCAGTTTTGCAGAAGCTCATAGTCTAGTGAGCAACCAGATAATATCCTGGGCTCTTGGATCTTTTCATTTTGAGGTGCATATCCTCCCCTGCTTAAAACTCAAACATTCCGTGGCCTTTGGGATGAAGTTCTAGTGTGTGGCCCACTGAGATTATAGGGTGTAAACTTGTAAGGGCTTTCCTTTATATTTCCTCTTTTACTGTTTATTGGTAGAGAACCTTTGCTCAGTGTGCAAATACCAGAAGATGAGTGCTGGGTATGGAGATGGTGTCGGCAGTCCTAGCTCTTGGGGAGGCTGAGTAGGAGAATTGCTTGGCAGAGGTGTTTGAGGCCAGCCTGAGTAACAGTAAGACCTATTTCCAAAAATAAATAGGAGGTGGAATGTGTGAGAGCATCCTTAAAGGCTGAGTATGTTGGGGGTGGAGAGTTGCCTGAGTAGTTAAGAGTCTTGCAGAAGACCTGGTTTCATTCCCTACACCCCCAGGGTGGCTCGTAGCCATCTGCCACTCCAGTTCCAGGGGATCTGAGGCCCGCTTTTTGGCATCCATGAGCATTGTATGCACACAGTGCACTTATACCAGGCAAACCACTGAAACGTAAACTATTCAGAGCTTGGTCATGTCGGTGTGCAAGTGTGATCACCTTGAAATATCATTGCCTCCTGCCCTTTGTCTCACATACCCTTAGCTATGGCCATAAGTTCTCTGTAGGTTGGACAATTTGATTTTCATGTGGGCTGTGCTTCCTGTCTAAAGGGATCGCTTCCTGCTGAACTACCTAACTGGGCTCAAGTATCTGTTCTGGGGACGATAAAGTCAAGATTGCATGGGCATCAGCACAAAGCCAAAGATGACATGGAAGTTGAGGAGTCCAGGCCTGAGTACGGAGGAAGAGAAAGGACACTCCGAGTACCTGTGTGTGGAGAAACGCTCATGCTGACTGTAAGGGGCTCCTCCAGGGAGATATGGGTAACTTGGCAGATGTAAGTGGCACCCGAGGAGCCTGGCTCGGCCGTCACGGTGGAAGTGACGCTGTAGGTTCCCACCATGCTTTGCCTGAGGTTGGAGAAGGAGGCACCGGGGACTTGGGCTGGAATTCCACCCAGCTCCTCTCGAATCCATGTCACCACCACATCCAGAGGATAGTAGCCAGCAATGCTGCAGATGAGATCCTTGTTTGCCAAGTTCAGCTGAACTTTGGGGGGAGCTGCAGAAAGCGTGAGGAATAGGATTACGGCGGCGAATGACACATTTTGAGAGGGAAGGAAGGTTGCAGAGAGGGAAGCTTCTCAGTGTTTGAAGGGGTTAGGGAGAGGGCGCTACTTGGACTCAGATTCTAAAAGGATACACTTTTTTCTGGAACTTTGAAGTCAATGACGAGACAGCACGCTTTTTTTTTTTTTTTTTTTTCTTAATGGAGCTGGGAATTCAACCTAGGACCTTCCAAGGACTAGCAAGTGCTATACCACTGAGCCACACGCTCTGCCCTTGGTCTGCTCCCTATCACCTCTGCAGCCAGTGATTGCTTATTTCGATCAGGACTGCTGCTTCTCGCTGTCCTTGGCTGCCTGCTGCCCCTCAGGAAGTTTTGGGAGCATAGCTTGAAGGTCTAGAATGTCTTCAGATCACCAGAGAAACCAAGAATGTTAGGCCTGCAGGATTGTCTTTCTAATAGGAAAGATGGCAAACCTGTTCTTCCATCCAGAAAGCTGGGAATTGGAGGTGATTAACAGCCTGGTGATTTTGTGATCTGTTGGGCCAGGCCACATCAAGCATCTACAACCAGGACTGTAGGTGGCTAGTAATCTAAATGACCCTTACAGCCAGGGGCTCCCCAAGCTCCCACATGCAGGGCCAGAGGTGGCTCATAGCCCGAATGATCTCTATACTCTCTGTACGACTGAGACCAGCCCAGAGCCTTCCCTAGGCCCTAAAGCTGGTACAGGTGGCCCATTTCTTAGAAGAAATGACACGTACCCCGAGTTTTGATATAATTACGGGAGATTGCATTACATCAGGAAACTTTTCCCCCCAATTATATTGTGTTTAAATTTGTTGGGAATAAACCGCCTAATATCATATTCCCCAGGTCTGACCCAGGTTGACAAAGTCAATCTGAACTGAGTTTTCATTCTCATCTCCTCGTGGTTTGCTTCCCTGCCTAGACACCTGCAGCGTCCCCTCAGGAAGTGGCCCAGGGGGCTGAAATTACAGATGGCCAGCCAGGGCTGTAAGATTCTGGGCTATTTATTTCTTTGGGGGGAATTATCTTGGTGTTCAGATAATCTGGTGCCACCAGTGCCTCCAGGATGAGGGTGGCGTTTAGGTTGTGAGAGTGCACTTTCTCTCAGGAAAAAGTCCCTCTGGGTTTGGATTCTAGTCTGGAAAACACTCCCACAGGCACATACCCGCCCCCTCCCCCCGCCTTGTCCCCAGAATAACTGAGGCCTGACTTTACCTAAGACGTTAAGAGGGACGATCTGTTGAGCTTGGTACAGAGAGGTCGCGATCTGGCAGATGTAGTTCCCCTCATCCTTCAGAGTGAGGTTGGGTAAGGTGAGGGAGGCATCCCCCGCCGTGTGTAGCTGTTCAGGGTCCAGCGAGGCACCCTTGCGCTTTTCCTGCACCTGCCCTGTCTTCCAGCTGTATACAAGCTGGCCACTGCCTCTATGCTGCAGCCGCCACTCCACGCCAATGAGGTCCAGGTCTGGTGCCATGGAGAAACTGCAGTGCAGAGAGACAGAGGACCCCACCAGATGACTCAGGGTTTGGGTCTCCGATGTCACCTGGAACTCCACTGCAGAGAGAAGAAAAAGGTGACTATGGACTGTTTCCTCCTTGAGGTCCCCTGGCCTCCAAACTGGGGACAGACAGCTTGTACTGATTGATTGGTTCATTTCCTGTCCAATGGAGCCACAAACAAATGGCGCTCTGCAAGGTGCAAGGGCAGCACGGCATACGTGAGAGTCAGAACTCGTGATCCTCCTGTTTCAGTCTCTCCAGTGTTAGGACTGCGGGTGTGTTCAAACACACCCAGTTTTACTGTTCTTCTCTCCATGAATAAAGTACTCCTAAGTTCTATGTGCACAGGACCCCCTTGCTACTATGAGTGAAGCGCCCCCAACCCTGATATGCTTCTGAGGTCACTGGTGATTGCGAAGGGAATGGCCTTGACTTTCAGCTATGAGCGATGACTGTACGTAGGAACATTTGGGGGTGAGGTGTTGTGGTACCTGTGGCCTAGTCATTTCGCAGGGAGAATATGTGTCTGTTTTAGTAGAGGGGAAGTATGACGGTTGGTGAAGTAGGTCAAGGCTGTGTGGGTGTATGCTGCTTCCCTTTTGTAGGTCTAAATAATCTCAGAAAGGGAGAATCACTAAAGCCACACAAGGCCTGTCGTAAATGCTGGATGTCTCTTCTAGTGTCGAGGTATACTTAGAAAGGGCCTTTGAGCCAGTGGGTACTGCAGGCCTGTACTGTCAGCTACTCGGGGAGGCATAACAGGATTACAAGTTCAAGGCCTGCCTGGACATTTTGGTGAGACCCCTGTTTAACAGTAAAAACTGAGAAGGGAGTTGTAGCTGGAGCTCAGTGGCGGAACAGTTGTTTAGCACAAGGCTTTAGGTTCAGTCCTCAGTACAGGACAAATGCTGAAGGTGAATGTTTCTAGGGATAGGAGAGAAACCCCTTCATCTTCGTCTTCTGTTGACTCAATTTTCTCCACTTTGGAGACAGGATATTGAGCTGGACTCTCCAGATACCTATCATCATGTTCTCTCTCTCTCTTTTTTTTTTTTTTAACCTGGTAGGGAGGTGGTAGGTGCTGGAGGACAAAGACTGGGGTTCACTAGGAAGAGGCACCAAACAAATTCTGTCTCCCAGTGCCCTGCTGTAACTGCCTCGAAGCGTCAGACCAGCCTTGCTTTTCCCTGGGTGGAAACAGGTGCTTGCGGAGATAAAAGAGCAGTGACAACTTGCCTAGACAGAGTAACCTCGCATTGCTCTCCCACGACAGCCCAGGGAGAGAAAAAGCCTCTCCATTTTGGAGAAAACACCTGATGGTGGTTATGCTTTGACCCTCACGTAAGGATCTCCCAGCATCCCCTCTTCTTGACTCGGACTATTTTAGAAAGAAAAGATGAAGGTCTGTGGGGTACCCCAGGAGGACCTATAAGTTAGATCACAGATTTGGTTTTCTTCCTTCCGTCCGATCTCTCGCCACAAAAAAACAAAGCAGAGGAACCTTGGGGCTAACGAGTGGGTAAAGGTACTCGCTGCCAAGCCTAGCAGACTAGTTCAGTTCCTGGAACCCACATGGTAGAAGGAGAGACCCAACTCCTGCACCTGTGTGCTGTGGCATGTACACACCACTAAATGTAATAAAACTTAAAAAAAAAAAAACAAAAAAAAACCATTCTTGTGCCACTGCTTTTTTATTTTCTCACCTTCAGTCCTCACCGTACCCTCGGGGCTCAGGGGTAGGTTCAGAGTAGGATGCCAGACAGCTCCAGTTTCAGCATCTGTTCGAGTCTTCATCACCATGGAGACACTGGGTCCGCCTCTAGATACCTGAATGTTGCTGATGAACCAAACTGTTCTCTCAGAACTGGCCTCTTGTCTGGCCTGGAGGAAGTACTGGGAGATCTCACAGGTCACCAACCTCCCGCTGCAGTCCGCATGGAGCAAAGCCTCTGCCTGGGGAATCTGTACCAAGTCCACTGGGGAGAGGAGAGGCACATGGGAGTGATGTTGGATGGACCGGCAGATGGGAAGCGGGTGTGGGTAGGTGGGGCTGGGAACAGGGCTGTCCCCACGAGGAAGCCCAGGACGGACAGCTTTTACCTGAGGCCTCGAAGACGACGGGGGAACCATCCTTGGCTGCCGTGCTCCCTTGGAAATCTGTGATGCCCTCCAGGGAGCCATCTTCCAGCACTGGCACCTGCTTCAGCACCAGCAAGGCCTTCTCCCTGTCCCCACTGCTGGCAAAAGCCCCTTGGTGCCTGTCCTCTGCCACCAAGAGGCACTCTAAGACTATGTCCGTGGCCTGCCGTCTTTCTGCTGTGGGGGGCTCTGCAGGGAAAGTGGGGTGAGCACGCTCGCTCCCCACCCCTCCCCCAACCGTGGGCCCATCACCAGGTCATGTTGCCCTTTGGGTCCGCTTTCTTGGTGTCTTTACATCCTCTATAAACCCAGCTTCGGGGAGGCACCTGCTACCCAAGTGAATCATTGTTCGTTCTAGATCTGCCCTGCTCAGAGCCAGATGATTTATGCTTTCATATATTTCTACATTCTAAACGTGGGGTGCAAGGAACGCTCTTGGAGGGAACTCCCAGTTTAAAAACCAAAACCCAAACCAAAGGAACAAAAATTTGCCATGGCGGAGAGGAGCAGGGGCACTTGCTGTTCCCAGGAATGCTGACAGCCGGTTTCTCATTTCCCAACCTGCCCCGGGTCCTCTGCTTTCTGTCATTGCTGTGGCCTCTAGCCTCCCCTACTAGGAGTCACCTCCCAAGTGATTTCTTAGCCTGGGGAGCCCCTTCCTCTGCTTCAGCTCACAGGGCCGTGTCCTCTCACAGCTGCTTCCACAGAGGAAGCCTCTCTCTACTTTTTTTTTTTTTGTGTGTGTGTGTGGTGGGTTCTGTACCCCTCTCCAAATTGGGTTCCTCATGTTGTTAAATGCTCATCTGCGGGGCTTAGAAACCAAGAGGAAGCTGCTGCTGTTCCGGGTAGCCGGCTCCCTGGAGCTCCCTTAGCTCAGCGCCCCTCCCTTCCTGCTTCCCCACCCCCCAGCCAGATCTCCGCACTCACCAATCCCGGCTGCCCCAGAGAGAGCCAAACAGAGCAGCAGACACCAGCCGGGCTCCGAGCCCATGGAGGCTGCTCGCAGGCCCTTCCGTGCCGGCTGCCTTCTCTGCAGCTCCCCGGCTAGAGAGGGTTCTCTGAGCACCCCTCACTTGCCTAACTAACCGCCTGTGGTCTCTGTTCTCTTGCCTGCTTCTCTTTCACTTTCACTTCAACCGCCTTTGTCGCCCTGAGGCCAATAGCAGCAGCAGCCGGAACCCTGCTCCCTTTCATACGCCCTGCACCCAAGAAATCCCAGGTGATTTCAAAACCTGCTCTCACCACCTGGTTTTGCTGCCAGCCTTAACCGTGAGAAAGCTGGAGAGGGGATGGAGCCAGAACATAGATCCCCAGGAGTCTAGACCCTTCTTCCAGACTACTTCTTTTTCCTTATGTGGGTTGCTCGTATTTGAAGCTGACCTTCTTCCCAGCCTCCGTTAACCCTTCTTCCTCTTCCTCCTCTTGTTTCTGTTTTTCCTCTAAGTTTGTAGGAAGGGAAATAACAGGTGGAGCTTTCACAGCCCCAATGTCGCTGGAGTCCCTGGGCCATATGGCCTGCCTATGGTTTCCGATGCTTACCTACACTGAGAGACAAGGACAGTGCATATAGAACTAGAAAAATGAATTTATTTACAGTTTTAGGGTAAACTGGGAGAAAGTCTCTGCTTTGCTCACAGCAGTGTCACAACTTACGGAGAAGACAAAACCAAAGCCAGGAAGTCTGTGTGTCATTAGATAATGTCTCTTGTGGAAGGTCAGTCCTGGCACCAAGGCTCCTGCTGGTGGCCCATTAAATTAAAAAAAAAAAAAAAAAAAATATATATATATATATATATATATATATATATATATATTTTTTTTTTTTTTTAAATCATATGTATGTGTGTCTGGGTGAGTGTATGTCATGTGTCTATGGGTGCCAGAGGAGGTCAAAGGTGTCAGATCCCCTGAAACTGGAGTTACAGGTGGTTTTGATCCATCTGACAGTGCTGGGACTCGAACCCTCGTCCTCTGGAAGTACAACAGGTGCTGCACTCACTGCTGAGCCATCTTGAGCCCTTTGGTGGTAGTTTTGCTCATTTATAGTGTGTTTTACAGCTAGAGCCTGAGCCTCTCCGAACTTGCTGAACCACACACCGGGGATTCTGTTCTTGTCAATAGCAGCCTCAGAAGGGCAGTTTGTCGCATGCACACAGAGAAGGGCTCTGATGATGATGGCAGGGGAGCGGACCACCACCCAGATCTCCCTGGATGGCACCCCACCGTTCCACTCAAGGGTTCAAGGGTAGGAAGCAGGCTCCGGTTTCCGGTAGTCTTCCTGAATGGGGACAGCACTGCCTTCCTCCTCCCTGGGGCAGCGGTAAGGACAGAGCTCTTCAGGCTCTGCCCGGCTGTCTTCGTCTGTGGAAAGAATCAGCCAAGTCTTGGTCAGCAGTGGGGATAAGAGAGGTGAAAGTGAGGAGAGAGGAGAAAAGCAGGGTGGAGGGGCAGGGGCTGGGGAGGCTGTGGGAAGGATATGGAGAGTGAGAGTAGGTGGGTGAAGTTCGGGGGGTGCTTTAGGGGTGGGTAGCAGAGCTGAGATGGTGGGCTGGGGCAGGAGGGGAGGCCTGTCTCTTACTTGGTCCATGATTTCTTCTTTGATGGAAGAACAAGATTCCACCCAGAATTAAGACCAGAAACATGCTGGAGAAGGTCATAAAGACCCGGATACAGTCTGAGCTGCACAGAGGTCTTCGGGCTGCAGAAGCAAAGATACCCTGAGGCTTTGGAGGAGGGGCTGGCCCTGGACTCCCTCAGCCCAGCCTGTCCTTTCGCTGTCACTGTCATCATCGTTTGGACCGGTTCCCTCTCTCCTAATCTCTAACTAGCTTCTGCTTCCCTCTGCCTCCTGCTCTGTCTGCCTCTGTCTTTCCTTCTTTTGTGAGTAGTGAATGGGTGTCTGTGCATGCAGAGTCCATAGCCAGCATCTTTTCCAGTGGGTGCTGGGAACTTTTCTCCCCAGCTCTACAGCCCCATCCCTCAGCCCATGCTCAGGGGTTTCCCAAAGGCTGTCCTCTTGGCCTCTTTCCTCAGTGCTTTCTCCATGGGGTAGGGATGAAGAAGCACACTCACATGGCAAGTGGGTATGGACAGTTGAGTCAGGGAGCTGCCTGAAGTCAGCTGCACTGTGTAGAGGCCAGCTGGTCCCGGCCTCCTCTGGCATCTCTGGGAGGAACAGACAGAATGAATCACAGCAGGGAACTTCCCATGATGCACCGGGCTGTAAGCCTGTGATCCCCAGGAGTGAGAGAGAGAGAGACAAGCTGACCCAGAACCTAGCTGGGGCTTAAGTGCAGAGTGGACCATGCTGGGCAGGCTGGCTGCCTGCCCAGGAGCAGTACATACGTGTGGCAGAAGATGAGTGGGTGGGTGGCGGGTGTGGGTTGGAGGCCTCAGATGGCTGTCTGGTCAGCGTGAGGCCTGCTGGATCACAGTCTGTACACTCCTGGTCCCGGCAATTCCAGCCCTTGGAGCAGGTGCACTTGGCATTGGCTGTGACTGTGCAGTTTTGAGTGAGAAGGCCTTCGGAGACAGGAGAAACAGGGTACAACAGGTCTTGAGAGAGCCGAGGTGCCTGCTTGCCCCTGACCTTCACCTGACACCGTTTCAAAGGATAGGAGTGTTTTTCATTCCTATCACCTTACCTCCCCACCCCCCACTGGCACCTGCTACCTTGCTATTATTGTTTTTGAAGAAGAATGGTCGACAGGAAGTTCACAGGCACAGAAACTGAAAGTAGAAGATTGTATGATTTTCTTTCCTACTCATTGCTACTTTGAAGCTTTTTATTGGCATATCAAATACTCTATAGAGATGTGCCCATCATACAAACAAAGCTTGAGATTCAGCATGAGAGGCGGAGCGATGGCTTAGCAGCTAAAGGTACCTGATGCTGAACCCAGGAGCCCGAGTTCAGTCCTTGGGACCCACATGTTGGAAAGAAGAGAAATGAGCCCTGCAAGTTGCCCTCTGACTTTAACCCACGCACTGTGGCTGGCAAGCACTTCCCACCCCCCAAACAAACAAATAAATATACTTTAAAAGTTTTTGTTTTTTTTTTTAAATGCCAGGTATGATGGCCCACACCTTCAATCTCAGCACTTGGGAAGTAGAGCCAGGAGGATCTCTATGAGTTTGGGTCCAGCTGTGTGTGGGTTCCAGGATAGCCTGGGCTACATACATAGTGATCTTCTGTCTCAAAAAACAAAAGTACAGCAACATATTAAGAAACAGTACATAAGCTGGGCACAGTGGCACATACCCGTAATTCCAGCACTCAGGAAGGTAGAGGCAGGAGGATCGCTGCGAGTTCGAGGCCAACCTGGTCTACAAAGAGAGTTCAGGACAGCCAAGGCTACACCAAGAAACCCTGTCTCAAAAAAAAAAAAAAAAAAAAAAAACTCAAACCAAAACACAAAAGCAGTACATAGCTAACTAACTCTTTTGTCCTCTTTTGGTAACTAAGCTCTCACAAAGTGGTTATCACTCCTACTTCTGCCATCATAAAACAACATCTGTGCTGTGTGAGTGGAATCACGCAGCATGATCTTATTTCTGTCTGGCCTCTTTCACTTAACCAGCTTAACTTTTTACTTAACTCAAATTTCCCTTTAATTGCTTTGTGAATTTTAGCTATTTTGTTGGCTCTAACTGCAGGCCACCCTTTCTCATGGCTATGTAATATTCCACTGTATGGATATACCACCATGCATGTATCCATCCATTCTACAGCCAGTGGACATCCGAGGAGCCACCAGTTTTTAACCATTAGGAATAGTATGCTTATGATTCCTAGTGTGTTTTACTGATTGTAGGCACCCTTTACATGGAAGATAGAAAGTTTGATCTAGTATAGGAACCAATGCTGGGAGCTCCCAGTAGTTGTACCAGGGGTGCTGGGCTGGGCTTACAGGTTGTTGGGGTTGAGTAGGGAGGTGACTCCCTGGAAGGCAACATCTGGATGGGGGACAATGCTCTTGGGAATTCAGGTAGCTCCAGGAGCCCTGCGGGCAGAACAGGGACGTAGGAACAGCGCATGGCAAAGACTTGCATCAACTGTAACGGTTTTCCTCTGCTCGAGGCCTGTCATGATACTTTGGGATTAGGCTGAGTCCACAGGCAAAGGTGAAGGATCCAACCTGGCGCTTCGTGAAGGGGTCGAGGGCAGACTGGGTTTGAGCAGAAGGCCTTTTGACAGGGCTACAGAGTGAGGCAGGAGGCTTCAGTTAAGAAATTCCCAGCCATGTGGAGGCTGCTGCCAGGAAGAGAGAATCTTACTTCTAAGTTGCGTCAGGAATATTTATGTTGCTTTGCTGAATGTGGTGGAACCTGCCTTTAATCCCAGGATTTAGAAGACAGATGAATCTCTATGAAGAGGCTACTTTGGCTTACCTAGTGCTCCAGGACAGCCAGGGCTGCATAGAAAAAAAAAACAAAAAAAACACAAAAACAAAAAAACTTGTCTCAAAGAAACAGACACACTAGAGCCTGTGTTGCTTTCATTACGATGTTGTTCATCTTGGTGTATAAAAAGCGTGGGATGTTTCATGCTTGCACGTTAATCTTTGCATCTCCCCAGTTTCAGCACATGAGCCACGGATGTGAGCCCATGACTAATATCTCTTAATGCTGTGCTGAGGACGAAGCCCAGACCACTGAGGTGGGAGATGGATCTCTTTGATAGTGGAAAAACTTTTGTTGCTATCGTTTGAGATGGGGGTCTCTCTGTGTATCCCAGCTGTCCTGGAACTCACTCTGTAGACCAGGCTGGCTTTGAACTCACAGATCTGCCTGCCTCTGCCTCCCCGAGTGCTAGGATCACAGGTGTGTGCCACAGTGCCCGGCTCCTACAATTTTTTTTTTTTCAACAGCAGGTAAAGAGGTTTTTTTGTTTTTTTTTTTTTTTTTTCTATATACAAAACAGTATCTTGCTGACAAACATTATTTCAAAGGGGCCTCTTTAAAGTGTCCTATTCTAGTGCCAGATAACACAGGCCTCCTGAATCCCTAGCAGAGGTGGGGAAATGACCGCCAAGCTTGAAAAGAAAGCTGCGGATATCCTACCTCTCCGTTTGCAAAAAGCAGAAGTTTATAAATTAGGAGAAAGGACAGATCTATTTGTTTTTTTCCCCCAGAAAGGCTTTTGTGCAGAAAGGCTGCGAGGCTCTGGCTTCTGACGTTATCCCCAGCTCCAAATTCTGAGCAGCCGACCTGCAGATGTGCCCTGGGCACACAGGCGGTTCATTCGCTGGAAGATGCTCTTCTGAAACCTGGGTTTCTGGAATTACCTTGCCACCACCCCCCCAAATTTTATAAAAATAACAATTTTTCATTGTTTCTGTGTACTCAGGACCTCAGAGGACAACTTGCACGTTCACTCTTTCCTTCTACCATGTGGCCCAGAGAATGAACTCCGGTCGCCAGGCGTGGTGATGCCAGGTACCTCCACCGACGAAGCCATCTTGTTGTCCCCACCCCTTTTTCTTTGAGACAGGGTCTTGCTGTGTTGCTCAGGTGGGCCTTGAACTCCTGTGATCAAGCAATCCTCCTGCCTCAGCCCGCCTTTTAGTTGGCTTTTGATGGACGTGTGTCATTGCGCCGGGCCCCATCGCTCCCTTTATTGTCTCAATCCTATTTACGGATCCCTCCTCACCGGTGGATCCTTTAGATTCTGCGCATCTCCCATGAAACCCTAGACCTCTCCCCACGCGCTCTGCCCAAGGCATGCAGTGCGTCAACACTGGCCCCGCTTCGTGGAAGCCTTGGAGCAGCTGAAGCTCTCGGACCCCGACTCTTCCCCACAGCCAGCCCCACCGGCCTTGCGGCCGCAGATCTTTCTCGGTGCCATCCTTCTGCACCCTCTGCCCCTCTCACCAGAGTTACAGTGTCTGCAGCTCTCGCAGTGTGGCCGGGTGTGGTAGCCTGGGGAGAAGGAGATGCCCGGGATACAGGGATCACACTGAGCCGCTGTTCTGTCCTGGCTACAGTCCTTCACAAAGAATGTACCTGTGAGCAGAGGGTCCCGCGTCAAACCCCGGGCTCTGCAGCTGCCTCGCTTTGCTTGAGCGCAGCCTCACCCCGCACACCTCCCTTCATCTCAGACAGCAATCGCCCAGCCCTGCTGAGGCCCACTCTTACCTGGTTCACACATCTGGCAACACAGTCCACCCCGAGTCCGGTAGTGTCTGTCTGGACAGCTCTTGGAGGCTGGGGCAGCTGAGAGCCTCACCAAGGTCCCCAGCATGCACAGCCAGTAGGGAGGTGGCCACGCCATGGCTCCTGCCCGGGGAGGTCTTTTCTGAGCCCCAGCTGGTCGTGGGAGCCACTATAGGTTCCTCTGTGCTCTGGGCAGCAGCTTCCACTTGGGTGGAACCTTTGACGGCAGTTGCAGCTGTTTTGTTTCTCTCTCTCTCACAGCAGCCTCCACCCCCTTCTCTTTTCCGCACCCTAGAGAGACTATGAAGGGGCAAGCCCAGCCCTGCTGCTCTTCACAGACACATGCCCTCCTTGGGCACCACTCTCGCTAAGGAAGCCAGTGTCTAGTCTATCTGCACACGCTGCCTGTCCTGGTCACAGGGCTGGCCGGTAGATGCCCTCATCTCTCCTTGGTGTGTCTCCTCTCTCATTCTTTCCAGAGATGACCAGTGTAAAGAAGAAAAAGGGCCAGATTGCAGATCGTCTCTGAAGTTCAGAGGGTCAGACTAGTTTTAGAGTCGTGACATTTTCAGCTTCTGCATAGAAGTAGCACCCCAAAAAACACCCTAGTAGAGGTGAGGTAACACGGCTAAACCTGACAGCTTTGGGAGACAGTCTTGTCTGTCTCAAGGTAGCTTCAGATTTGCTTTGTAGCTGAGGATGACTTCGAACTCTGGTCTTTCTGCTCTGTCTCCTGAGGGCTGCAGCTGTTACAGGGGTGTGCCGCCATGCCACTATTGCTGCTGGTGTTACAAGGGTATGTTGCCATGCCAGGTTCATGTGGTGCTGAGGACTGAACCGGAGACGTTCATCTAGGCTACATTGCCAGCCTCAGACGTAACACACACACAGCGAGGTCCCCGGCGTGTAGAGCCAGTACGGAGGTGGCCATGCAAAAGCTACTGCATGTGCCCAGGGGAGGAGTCATGGCAACCAGCCTGGCATAACTGGGGTTTGCTTTTCTGACCACAAAAGCTCTTCCAGCATTGCTTATAGTTAAAGGCCAAGAGTTGGCCCTTGTCTCCTGTCTTCCTTTCTGTGCTGCAAAATCGCCTGTGATTCCCATTAATCCTTGTGTGTGTTCGCATGTGTGTGCAGGGACTCGTGTGTACGTGTATGCACGTATGTAAGCTTGTGTGTGGAGCTCAGAGGACAGCCGTGGTTTTATTGCTTAGGTGCATCTATTTGTTATTATTATTATTACTAGTAATTATTATTTTAAGGTAGTATTTCCCACTGCCCTGTCACTTGCCTAGTGGAGGAGGCTGGCTGACCTGCAAACCCTGGGATCCTCCTGTTTCCACTCCTCCAGCACGGAGAGGAATACACGCAACCGTATGCCTTTGAAAACCAAACCAAACCAAATCAAACCAAACCAAACCAAACCAAACCAAACCAAACCAAACCAAACCAAACCAAAGAACATGGGATTTGGAGGTCAAACTCAGGTCCTTGTGCTTTCCTGACTAAGCCGCCACTCCAGCCTGATTTCCTTTCCTCTTAAGGCCAGCCTGTGACACAGATATGACCCACTGTCGGTAGAGACTCTTGCCAACCCTTCTCTTTGACTTGATCTCATTTATTCTTCCTTCCTGATTCTGGCTGGCCTGGTCACCAGTGTCTTTGGGCACCTGAACCATCTCCTCTTGTGGCCTTGGGCACGTGGCATTAAAGGTGGCTCCTATGTCAAGTCTGTTGACTACTCTCTGGGAATTCTGACTTGAGGATGTCGGAGTCTGCCCTGGAGGTGCATGGGCCTTTGAAGTCCCCCACGCTTCCCCTGCTGACTTATCTCATTTGGGGGCTTCACAGTTGTTTCCACACTGCTGGTGAAATGTCACAGCCCTGTGGTCACACCTGGGGATGTTAGATCTGCTCTCTGTCTCTCATGCTTCAGTTTCCTGTCTCTTCAATTTTTCCACCCTCCTTCCTTTCCCCAGCCCCCCTCTACGGCACTTCAAGGGTCCACTCAAGCCAGGAGCCACAGCGCGTTATGATTTAGAGTTGCTCAACGGAAAGCACCCTAGGCACGTGGCCATCACAGCCCACGACAGTGTTAGGACTAGAGGAATTATCTCCCTCATTCCCAGGCTCTCGGATCTTCACTGTTAACCAGAAATCTTCAGACAGATGTGAGGGGTTGAGCAGTGGATAGCTAGACCTATAGGAATGGATGTGACCCCGGCGTTGAGGAACTTCAGAGAAAAAGTTGCTAAAAGGGGGCTTTGAGTGCGCAGAGAACTTAACATCTTGATCAGACCATGAAATGTGTACTCCCCTGAGGCTTCCTCTTCTACTTACTCCTCCACAGGGGTTGGAACAGCGACAGGGCCTGCCTGGCTCTCCAGGAGCAACCCTGATGTTATGCTTTCTATCTGAAGCGAATCCCAAAAGGCTCATGTATTGAAGGTCCTGGCCAGAGCAGCAGCGTATTGGGAGGCTAGCTAGTTTCATCTGTGGACTTAGTCCTTTGATGAGTTCATGGCTAAGCAGGAAGAGGGTTCACTAGGATCAAGCCTTTGAAGGTTGTTTCTTGTCCTCAGGCCCTTCCTTTCTCTCTCTGTCCCTCTCTGTCTACTTTCTAGCTGCCGTGAAGTGAGTAGTTTTACTCCGCCTCACCTTTTTGTCATAAAGTATTGCTTCACCGCAGGCTTAGAAGCAATGGCACCAGTCAGTCACGGTTGGCATCTCTGCGACTGTGAACCAGAAACAAGTCCTTTCTCCTCTGAAGTCGCCTTCTGAAGTATTGCCACAACCATGGAAACAAACACACCACCTTTCATCTCTGTATTCTTCTCATCATATAAATTTGGAGCTCTGAAGCTAGACATGATCTCTCTACACTTCTAGGTCCTCAGGAGATTCGAGTCCAGGAGTTTTAGATCATTCTGACCGAAATAGTGAGACCTCTCTCTCCATCCCTTCCTCCCTCCCTTTTTCCCTTCTTTTCTCTCTTCCCCTCTCACATACACACAAGATATATCAAAACGCCATACCCACTGAACAATAACAATCTAATTTTTCCTCTCCTTGGCTTTTCAGATGCTTACTGATATTTGTGTTTCTTCTCTGGAGCAATGTTTCTAAGGCCTTTTCATCATGTTGTTTTAGATACAGATCTCTTATTGGAAATAGGTTTTTGAAAATACTTTTCTTAGATAACTTCAAAAGGTTTATTTTATGCTTATATATGCTTCCCTTCCCCCTGTGCCTTGTCAGGAATGAAGATATCCCCTGGCTACAGAAACTACTGCAAAAATGGTCCCCCCAAAAATTGGAAGAAAGAATAGGCTGAAGCTTGGGCTTCAGGGGGACCTCACCTCTTGGTGTTGTTTACACCCACAGAACTGAATATGTTAGATGGGGGATGTTACTTAAAGTCACCGTTGAGTCAAAGTTGCTAATCACTTATCCCTGATGGAATGCTTGTCTTGCTTCATCAGGCGGACCCAGTGTCACCACAAGGGTTTCCTTTTGCCTTTCTTCCTTTTTTTTCTTTCTTTTCTTTTGACAAAGTTTCTTTGTGTAGCCTTGGCTGTCATGGAACTCACTCTGTAGCCCAGACTGGCCTCAAATCCAGAGATCTGTCTGCCCCTCCTGCCCCCTGAGTGCTGGGATTGAACACCCAGCCCAAAATTACTGACTTGGAAGCTGAAAGATGAAGGCTGTGAGGCTCAGGATGTCCAGAAAGAAGAACCAGCAGGGTCACTGCTGTCTGCCTAGCGACCCTGACTGGAGCAAACCAAAAGATCCCCATCTTGTCCTGTTGTCCTGGGGACTGAAGTCAGGGTCTCCCCTGTGCTCGGCAAGTGATGTACCATCAAGCTACATCCATAGCCTGAGGCCTAGTTTAGACTTCTTTAGACTTCTGGCTTACAGAACTTGGGGGGCAGGAACTGAAGCAGAGATCAGCCTGCCTTTTTTTTTTTTTTTTTTTTTTAATATAACCCAGAACTACTTCTCTAGGGACATAACACCCACAGTGCGTTATGATTTCAGTAATAGGGTCTTAACATCTACTTGTGGTGAACACCACGAGCAGTGGCAATGGCATGTGCTGTTTTTGGGGGCCTCTGAAGAACTTTTATTTCTTTCTACTCAGATGGAGGCAGACAAATGGCTATACTGAACTTCTGACTGAACTTGTGTTGAGTAGGGTTCTTGTTCTTTTTGTTTAGGTTTCTACTTTCATGTAGGAGGACATATTTTCTAGTTTCCTGTCTGGTGGCTCCCAAGGTTTTCTCTCCCAGACTCTGGGTTAATGAAGTCCTGGTTGGTGCTTGCTGGCAACTGCCCATGGATGCTGTCTGTGTCTGACATTTCTTTCTGATTTTAGGTTTGTTTTTTTTTTTTTTAGATAGGATGATGGCCATGCACCATCACACCCAGTTTGTGCAGTGCTGAGTATCAAGCATAGCACCAGCCAGGAGGAGGTGGCACATGCCTTTAATCCCAGCAGGTGGGAAGCAGACAGGCAGATTTGGTCTACAGAGGGAGTTGAAGGAAAGCGAGGGCTACACAGAGAAACCCTGTCTCAGAAAACAAAAACAAAATAACAACCCCCCCCCAAACAACAAACACAAACAAACAAAAACTGAGTGCATTCCAGGGAGCAACGTATTACCTGAGCTATACTCAAGCCATGCCCAGTGTGGCACACAGTCTCCAGCCACTGCCTGCGGATCAAGACGTAGAACGCTCAGCTCCTTCTCCAGCACCATGTCTGCTTGCACACTGCCATGCTTTCCACCATGATAATGGACTAAACCTCTGAAAATGTAAGCCAGACCTAATCAAATGTTTGCCTTGATAAAAGTTGCCTCGGTCATAGTGTCTCTTCACAGCCATAAAACCTAAAATAAGACACCATGTTTAGGTGCTCAATAGATACTCATGTCTTCTTCCCCTCCACTGGTACTTGAGACTGCAAGTCCTCTGAGATGGGGTTGAAGGAACGGCAGTCAGGGCTGAACTGGTGGCATACGGAGGCCACAGAGGCGGCTTGCTGGGCCGAACACGCCTCCCACATGCAGCATTTGGGTCCCGCGTGTTGCTCTCTTTATGCCTCACAATGCAGAAAGACACCCCAAAGGGTCTCCCCTCTTTATCTGATTTGACTACCTCTTCCACGATTGGTTCTAGTTTTCACCCCGCTTTCGTGGCCACAATCAGCCTATCAGGGCACCCTACAACCTGAGCCTCAGAAAGCCCTTAGCTGGCCCAAGACATCCTTTAGAATATTTTATTCGTTTGAATGTTTTGCCTGCATCTATGTTTGTGCACCACACGCATGCCCGGTGTGTGCTTGCACGTCAGAAGAGAGTGTCTCTCCCCTGGAACAGGGGTTGTGGATGGTTGTGAGCTGCCACGTGGGTGCTGGGAGTCTAACTCTCATCCTCTGCAAGAGCCACAAATGCTCTAAACTGCTGGGCCATCTTTCCAGCCCCTAAGAGATAATTCTTGAAAACTTAAAGAAAAGAAAAAAGGAAAAAAAAAAAAAAAAAAAACCTTGAAAAGTGAGTGAGATGTATTTCATAGGCGTGAGCTCCCAAATGTGATGCAAAACCCTGTTATCTGAGTGCACACATCAATGGTAAGGCTGGTGAGGGGTCAGAACGGTGAGAGATAATGGACATGACCAGAGCTGGTGCTGCCTAACCAGAGACTGTCTCACCGTGGACATTCATATCATACAGACATCTGTAACAGAGCTCATGATACAACAAAACTGTAAATTACATTTTAAGATTTTTAAGTGAAGAAAAAAAGATCAAAATTTGTGGATAATAGTTCCTCCCCCCTTTTTCTTTCTTTCTCTCTCTCTCTCTTTCTTTTCTTTCTACGAATTGGGCTCTTAATTTTTTTTAAAGATTTATTTATTTATTATGTATTATATACATAATATATAATATGTATCTCACAATAGATGGTTGTGAACCACCATGTGGTTGCTAGGAATTGAACTCAGGACCTCTGGAGGAGCAGACAGTGCTTTTAACCTCTGAGCCAGCTCTCCAGCCCCCTGAGTTTGGCTCTTATGTAGCCCAGCCTGAACTTTTTATGCCAGGATCACGGGACCCTTAGAGACCACCAGGAGAGGACTCCATGCAAGAGAGCTTCATTGTGAGAGCAATCGAACTCGGGACCCAAGTCTCACTGATGCAGCAGTAGAGAAGTACGACCCCGAGCCCTGAGTGAGCAGGGTTTTTAAAGGGAAAAACTGCAAGCAGGGGGTTTCCATGACAGCAAGCAGGGGGGTTCATGCCTTGATGTTACAGGATTGGGTAAAAGCCATAGGGGTGAGGTGACCTTCTACATAATCACAATTGCCATTCTTCTAAGCTACATCTGGAACGTTGGGGAGAATTTTCCCAACAGATTCTCATTGATTATTGCCAGGGAGATTGTCTCTATTTTCTATCAAGTATTTATTCTGTGATATTTCCTGGAGGCTGTTGCTAGGAGAGTTAACTTTGTTTTCTGCCAACTGCATATTCTGTGATATTTCCAGGTACCTGAGTTCAGCTCCCGGTCAAGATGGCTCCTCATTTCAAAATGGAGTCACCCAGGCTAACTTAAACACTTCAAACTTAGTATGCAGACAGGGTAGTTCCACTCATTGTGCCTGCATTTCTCTTATGCTGGGATTATGGGTGTGTGCTGGAGCTTGGCTCTCATTCCCTTTTGGCCTGTCTCCTTTCTCAGGGCTGGTTCTCTGTCTGCTTCCAAGATGAGAGCACTGATTCAGGAGTATTCTTCCAGAACTTCACTAGGCAAATAAATACTCATGTGCGTCTTTAGAGATTATTGTAGCAAGCCAGGCCCGGGAACACATTCCTATAATCCCAGCACTCGTGAGGCATAGGCAGGAGGATGCATAATTCAAAGTCATTGTTGGCTATAAGGCAAGTTCAAGGCCAGCCTGGGTCACATGGTAACTTGTCTCCAAAAAATTAATCTTAGGGATATTCTTTGCTAAAAATAAAGGATTGAACTCAGGTTGTCAAGCTTGGCAGTAAGTGCTTTTTCTGCTGAGCCATTCATCAGTCTGTGTTTTGGTTCTTTGAGACAGGGTCTCATGTAGCTCAGGCTGGCCTCAACTTGCTGTATAACCAATTCTGACTTTGAACTCTTCCTGCCTCTGTCTTCCAAGTGTTCAGATTATAAGGGTGTGTCATCCTGCCTCACTGACTTTTCCTGTCTTATTTGAGGCATGACAGTCACCTCTGTTTTCTGAGGGAAACATCAAATAAAGCTGTTATTAGTCTCTGAACACAGAGCCAGAAATATAGGCTGAAGAAGAAATCCTACTCAGGTCTTTCCACTAGTTAAAAACTTCTCTCTGGAAATGAAACAGTGTATGATTGACAGATACACACTCTTTGTCTTTAAAGAAATTATTTTACTATTGTATATGTATTTTGTCTGTATGTCTGTGCACAGTTGGTATAATCTTCTTGTGGAATGTATACAATTTACTCTTGTTCATTCAGATGCTGATTTCTCTATCCAGACATTGCATTGTGATGCTTATTTTAAGCATCACCTGTCTCAAGTTTGTGTAAACATGCCACCATTTGTTCTCTATATTGTCAATTAAGCATCCAGCCAATGCTGTGCAATGGAGAGAATAGGGTGGGACATCCTGGTCTGGAGGGGAGGTGAAGGAACCGAGTGGGAGGGTCAGAGAGGAGAGATTGGCAGGAGAGAACTTGGAATCATGAGGAGAGATGAGCCGGACCTAAGATATGACTAAAAGCAAGTATAATGTGGGAAATCTGGATGGGAGGAAACTATGCAGGCTTGGAGGTTTAGGATGGAGTAACTATTGCCCAGCATTGTGCTCTAGGTTAATTAAATACATCCTAGTCTCTGTGTGGGGATTTGGGTATACAGCTGGTTTAGGAATAACCACTGTTTAACTAAAAGATAAATCAATAGTAAATATTAAAAATCAACAACAGTGCACCACGGGCACGCCTGGTCACGTGCATGCCTGGTGCCCTTGGAGGCCAGGAGAGGATGCGTCAGATCCCCTGGAACTGGAGGTATGGATGGTTGTGCTGGGAACTGAACCTGGTTTCTGTGGGAGAGCAGCCGGTGTCTTAACAGCTGAGCCATCTCCCCAGGCCCACCCCCACACATGTTCATGGTTTGCTTTTTAAAGTCTTATTTCTCAGATAAAGAAAACTAAAACAAGCTGAGTGGTGGTGGCTACACCTTTAACCCCAGCACTCAGGAGGCAGAGGCGGGCAGATCTGCTCTATAGAGTAATTCCAGGACAGCTAGAGCCACACCGAGAAACCCTGTCTCAAAACAAACAAACAAAACACCCCAAACAGGCTTTTCCCTTTATTGGTCTAGTGTCTTTGGCTGCCAGGTGGAATTCCCAAGGGCCCCAGCACACTTGTATTACCATGAATAATGTTCATGAATAATAATTCGCCTTTTAAGTCCAATTATATGTGCTGTAGCTCATCTCACGCTATACCCGGAGCTGTTGGTTCTGTTAGTGGACATCTGTACAGAGCCCCCTCCCCTTGTTTTGAGATATGGTCTCTTGTAGACTGACTGGCTTCAAACGTGCTTTGAACCTAGCTTTGAACCCCTGATCCTCGTACCTCCACTTCCCAAGTGTTGGGTTACACGTGAGTGCCGCCTTACCAACACTGTACAGAGGCATCTGAGGGGTCGCAAATTCACGAACGCTGAGGCTTCTCCCGACCTTTCACGGCCGCACACGGTGTGTTCCATAGAGACACCGAGTTTCCTGTACACTCAGGAGTGTGTCTGCAGTGAAAGCTGAACTGGCCACAGGTCCTGCCGAGTCTCAGGCCGAGCACCTCTCCTGAACAGGCTCTGGTAAGTTGCCTCCCAAAGCGGCTGTGCCAGTGCTCTTTCCTACCTTCGGCACAGTGACAGCTCTCGCTCTCTCTGCTTGGCGTGTTAAAAGTGCTTCCTGGCTTTTAACCGGAGGAACGTGCGGTCAGGTTTTGGTGGCCGGTCTCCTATGACAGGAGGGGCTGTCTGTGGCCCCGCTGTTGTGACCGATGTCTTCCTATCCCTGGGTCACCGTAAGTCTTTGGAGGCCCAGCCCTGGGTCCCGTCCTCTTGCTGCAGGGAGCAGGGTCCCTGTCAGTCACGTGGATGCCCTCTGCTCTGGGTTGGACACAAGCCTCTGTTGGACCATGGACTTTTCCTTTTTCTCTCTCAGTAACCACGTGAGGCTTCAGCCCTGCCTGGCTGGTGTGTTCCTTACCTGGCTTGTCAGGTGACAGTTGGGACTAGGGCTTGAGCACTTGATAACTTCCTGAAGACTGTACCAACTCCCAGCTCAGATGGAAGGGCTCTTTGGTGTGTTCTTTCTTATTGAGATTAAATGTAATGCGTGAAAGTGAGTGTATGTATGAGATTGTGTAAGTGAGTGTGTGTATGTTTGTGTGTGTGGTATTGGGACAGGGCCTAGGGCCTTACATTGCTCAGTTAACGGTTCAAGGATACAGTGGTAGAGGGCCTGTTTCCTGTCCTGGATTGTTTTCTGTTGCTGTGATAGAAAGCAGTGTGGGGCATGAAAGCGAAGCCAAGTGAGGAACTCAAGGCAGGAATAAGACCTGAGCTTGAGGCAAACACAAAGACCCGGGGAAATGCTGCCTCCTGGCTTGCTTCCCAGGTCTTGCTCAGCTACCTTCTTGTGCAGCCCAGGCGGGGCAGCTCCCACAGTGGGCTGGGCCCTTCTCCGTCAGTTCGCAGGTAAGAAAATGCTCCAGACATGCGCACAGGCCAGTCTGCGGAGGCAAGTCTTCACGGGGTTCCTTCTTCCCACCTTTGTCTGGGTTTGCGTCAAGTTGACAAACACCAGCCATGGCATCTGGCATACGTAGGGTCCCGTGTTCAATCCCTTTATTGCCAAGCCAAACAGTTTAAAAAGGGAAACCGTAATGCTATGAAGGGTCTTTCACGCACAAGTTATTGTGTGAGCGCGTTTTTAACTCTCCTGGATCTAACTAATGGGATTGCGGGGTCATAGGTGTGTGAGGGTCACTTTTTTTCATTGCCGGGATCAAATACTTAACAAAAGCAATTTAGGGGAGGGAGGGCTTACAGTTTCAGGGGATCAGCTCATCATGTCAGAGTGACCTGTGCTGCAGGAGGTGGGAGAGGGACAGGGAGAACTGGGAGCAGCTTTTAAACCTCAAAACCTGCCCCGCCCCCAACCTTGACGTATTTCCTCCTAACCCTCCTCAAACAGCACCTTCAACTGGAGACCTGAGGCCACGGGGGGGGGGGGGGGGGGGGGGGGATATTTCTTATTCAAACCACCACAGCACCTCAGTTAATCCAATCTAAAAACTCCCTCGAGGACATGCTCAAGAGACTTTTCTCCTCAGGGAAAAGTTCAAAAGTCTTGTTGACCATTACAAGTCCACCCCTTGACAAAATGACACCCAGACTTTAAAGCCACAACCTTCCATCTTTTGTCTCCATAATCACAAAGCCATTTTATAAGGTGAATTCAATCCATCACTAAATGTCCCCATAGTTCAGAAGAGCGCCAACAGTTTCCAAAAGTCCAACATTTCTTCTATAAAATAAAAAACAAGCCACAGGCTTCCAGTATATCCGATGGCACATAGTGACTATTCCACTTTCAAAGGGAGGAATGGGGACATAGCGAGGAAGGATCAGACCAAAGCTCTGCACGGAGGAGCATGGGGGCGGACACCAACTCCTGCCTCTCTGTGGTTGGCATCAAGGGTCCATGAGGCTCCCAGCAGCTTGGTAGCCACACCTCTTCCCCCAGTGCTGCTTGTAGCACAGATAGCCTCCCTCTTGACCAGCCCCGCCTCACGTCTGTGTGACCTTCCTCATAGACAGGCGTTTTTGCCGCTGTATGTAAATAATGGCTCCCTAAGAAATTGGAATTTCCCAGGAATCTCACGAGTCTGAAGGCTGGTGCCCGGCAGAGGAGGAATGTGTTTCTGGGAAAGAGATCTCACACAGTTCTGACACATTTGTTAGACCATCTTGCAGGGTTGGGACAATGATTTGTCAGTGACGGATGGGACAACATCTTGAGCAGGAACTTCTCTGCTTAAATGTAAACCTCACACCAGGGCTTGGGTGTCCCTGGAACTCTCTGCTCTTCTTCCTAATGTGGCCTCACCCAGTCAGCCTCCTTTTCCACTTTTCACTATTACTTGCCTGTTTAACTGGCCTATGGAGGACAGGTGGCCAAGCCTAATATGTTAGGGCTTCCAGGGCTCAGGTTCTGATAGGCCATGGCCAGGAGGAGAACAAAAACAAAAACAAAACAAAACAAAACAAAAAAAACCCAAAAAACAAAACAAAAACCAAAAATCAAAACAAACATTCTGGGCATTAGCCACTTGACCCCAGACGATGGAGCAGAAACATTAACTAGTCCTACATAGCTTCCAAAACGATTTTGTTTCTGGGATTTTTTCTAACTTTTCTACCTCATCCATTATCCGTTTCTTTCCTCTCTATCTGGTAAAGCAGAGAACTGGACTTTGTTTCGGGCTCTGAGAAAGTCTGACCTTTGGTAAGTTTCTCCCTAGTGGGTGCCCCTCGGGTGTTTCTCTTCTTGTAGTTTGGGTCCCCTTTGAGCTGTTTGGATTTGTTTGTTTGTATCATTTCAGCAATTGCTTCCTGGTGGCTGGCTTTGTCTTTGGGAGCCCTGTGTAGCTGAGGTCTTGCTGAGATCTTCGGGCTACTGTACTCTGAATGGCAGGCCTTGTTAACTCGGCAGCGCTTTTGAGCAAATTAGGAGTCCTCAGGAGAGGGCTGGAGAGATAGCCAAGAGGTTAAGAGCGCTGGTTGTTCTTTCAAACGTCCTGTGTTCAATTCCCAGGGGTCCTCAGGAACTTATCCCAGCACCTATTACAGGGAAGGCTGGAACGTGTTGGTCTTTTGGGGTGCTCCTCTGTTGAGCCCTTGGGTTCTGTGGAACCATTTGAGACAGAGAAGCAAGGGTATTGTGGTATCTATTATGATTTGTGTAACCATTGGAAACTATCGTGATGTTCCCTAGGGAGAATTCTAGTGACTTACCTCTGATAGACTTAGGGTAGTTATTAATTTGCATGGGGGCAAAGATTAACTTCCTCTTAGAATTTCTAATAAACAACTGAGTTGCAAAGCTCTGGTTACTTCAGTTTTGAGTTTTTAAAAAGAATCATTTTTATTCATATGTATGTGTGTATGTGGGTGCTTATGGAGTTCAGAAGGGGGCACTGGATCCCCTGGAGCTGAAGATAGAGGTGGTTTTGTGATGCCCTGTGTAGATGCTGGGCACAGAACTTGGGTCTTCTGAAAGGGTATTAAGCAAGCCATCTCTCTAGCCTCTTGAAATATCTTTAAACTTATTCAAAACACTAAAATCCTTGGCATACTTAATTTGAAATGAGAGTATGTGTATCCATTCATGAATGCAAACGTTTAGGAATGATTTGGGCTTATATTGATACATTCAGTGAAAAGTCTTGGATTTGGTGTTCAAGGGGAAACTGAGACAGATTACCTTTTGGATAAGAGGTTAGTAGATGAATGCCACAGGGGGCAACCTGGAAAGGGTTCTAAGGTGAATTCAAGCCCCAGTGATAGACTCTGTGGGGGAGCGGGCTCTGAGAACTCCGGCCAGGTGGGAGAATAACAGCATCTTTTGGTTTTCTTAGGGTGGGAGGAGGTTCCATGGCATGAGGCTGGTGCATCATATATGACACACACCTGTTTATGGGCTCTCTGATTCCTGGGCAGCCAGGTCAAATGGAGGAAGAGATTCGAATTTGAGAATGGAATACCCGACTTTGGGGATGTGGAGAAAGGAGAGAGGCAACCCAGTTAGTTAATGTGTGCCCGCCATCTGTGGCGTGTCGCAGGCCGCCCCTGACAGCCTGTGGCTTGTATAGGAGACACATGGGTGTGGCCTGAGCCGAGTCTGCTCTGAATTCTAACATAGAAGAGCTATGCTTCTGTGTCTTTTTTTTTTTTTTCACTGTTCCTTTGGTGGTGGTGGTGGGGAGGTTAACTAAAATACAGACATTTAATAGTCAACTGTAACATTTGGGACTGAAAAAAGAAAAAGAAGAACCAAAACCCAAAACTCCAAAACTGGTTAGCTGGGACGTTACCTGAGTCAGGCCGAACTCTGTTGACTGTGGGGAAAGAGTTAGCGACACATGAATAAACCAGAGTAACTTGGCAAGGCAATTTTTTACTTTTGCAAAAGGTGTGGAATGACACAAACCAGGCGAGCAAGCATGCCCGGGGTGAGATGCTCACGGAACTTTTGTCCTATGCGGGTGGTAACTGTGAGGCCGCTTCAGCTCGGAATGGTGTGACTGGCTGGTTCACCATCACCCAGGTGGGAAGGTTGTGGCAGAGTCTGACCCTCGCAGCTGCTAATTCTGAAAACTGAGGCTGAGAAAAATCTTGTTACAGCTTCTACAAGATGGATGACTAATATCTTACCTTATTTATTTATTTATTTATTTATTTATTTATTTATTTATTTATTTTTTTAAGCTCAAAGACAGTTGACAAGCAGAGTTGAGCTCTTGGCAATGGCCTAGAGGAGGGAGATAGGAAACAGAGTCATGCTGTGTGAGTTAAAAGTGGCATGGAGGTTAGCCACGTGGCAGACACACAGACACAGTCATGTGGCAGACAAGTGGCTGCATGGCCTCGTGGCAGGGAGGGAGCTTTAGAAAAAGAGCAAGGGAGCCTAGAGTACCAGGAGAAGCTACTTAGCCTCTGGCAGCTAAGTAGCTTAGCTGAAAGAGACAGAAAAAAGGAAGTGTGGCAGAAAGGTGGACAGACCCGCCAGAGCCTCGTGGGGCGGGAGGGGCTGCCTCTAGCTCACACTCAAAGGTGGCTGAATTGACCCAGACTGCTCAGAGATGTTCTAAAACACTTCTTGCCAGGCGAGCTTAAGACAAACATTTAGAAGACTCTGGACTCTGTATGTAGGCACAGTTTGGAATGATTTCTCTGCTTTGTCTGTATGAGATGTCCGTCTATTTTGTCAGCATTCAAATGAACTCTGCTCCTGGGATAACTAAGATTCTCGGCAACCACACCTTCAAACTCTGCATTAAAATTGGTAAAGCACACTTGT